CACACACACACACACACACACACACACACACACACACACACACACACTTTTTCATGGTGAGATCAAAAGCTAGGAGGACCAAGGAGTGTCCCCTACAAGGTCTAAAAGCAATAACATGGACACATCTCCAAAATCTGCTGAGCTTAAAGCTACTGTAAGGGACTTCCCTGGTGGCGCAGTGGTTAAGAATCCACCTGCCAATACAAGGGACACGGGTTCGAGCCCTGGTCTGGGAAGATCCCACATGCCGTGGAGCAACTAAGCCCATGCAGTGCATCACAACTACTGAGCGTGCGCTCTACAGCCCACGCAACACAACTACTGAAGCCTGTGCTCCTAGAGCTCGTGCTCCGCAACAAGAGAAGCCACCCCAAGGAGAAGCCCGCGCACCGCAACAAAGAGTAGCCCCACTCGCCACAACTAGAGAAAGCCCACGCGCAGCAATGAATACCAAACCCAGCCAATAAATAAATAAATAAATAAATAAATTTATTTTAAAAAATAAAAATAAAGCTATGTGGCACAACACCTACCACATGAACATCTTATATTTTGTTACAAAATCACAAGATATTTTGTATGTTTCCTATGGATCATATTTGTAAGTATTTTTCAAATACCATGTGGCCACCGAACTCAGAATGTTGATTATCTCTGGAGACACAAAGCTGACGTTCTACTTTTTTTTTTGCAGATGAATCAACGTATTATTTGAATAATTCAAAATGAATGTCTAGAATAAAGTGCTCACTGGATCCTGGAGATTGCTGGGGACGTTGGCAAGAGGAGATTCCTTGGAATGATGAGTGGAGGTCGGGAAGCAGTGGCTTAAGGACTGGGTGCTAAGGGAAAGAGACAAGTGACTGCAGACAGGCAAGTGTAGACAACTCAGTTTGGCCACGAAGGGGGAGCGAGGGATTGGGCTGGGGGACGATGTGGTGTCCAGAGAAGGCATTTTAAGATGGGAGGATGCTGAGGGAGACAGCCAGAGAGGGCAAGGGATGGGGTAGGGGAGGTGACATAAGGTCGTTGGGAAGGTGGGTGGGTGGACCAGAGCCCCGTGTAAGGCGTGGCTGGTGCTCTTGACCCTGGAGCCTGTCTGATGCATATCTGTACACCGAGCCCCAGCGCATGCCTGACCCTAGGTCAGTGGCCGCCAAAGCATGGTGCTGTACAGCGTGGCCACCAGCTCCAGCCAACCAGAAGAGGGCAGCCTTGGCCTTCCAAGAAAAGCTGTGCCACCTCTCAGGAAATGCACCCAAGGGCCACATGATCCCACCTACCGGGTGGGGTCTCAGCTCTGCCATCCCCTCCCCAGGGATCTTGGCAAAGACAGCAGTGATAAAGTCAGAGACCCCTTGCCATACTCAAGCGGCCCCTTCCCAGGGCATCCCTCAAACCTCTGTGCCTCCTTGCCTCATACACTAACTGCTTCCTCATGGGGCTGTTGTCAAAATCACGGTGATAATAATTACCTCACAGCGTTGTTTCAAGAGTCAAATGAGATCATGTACAGAAAACGCTTGGCGAAGCACATGACACAACAGGAGCCCTCAGCAAACGTCCGCCCCCCCGACTTCAAGCCCTACACCCCACAACTCTGCCCTTTGGAGGCCAGTCCTGAGGCTTGAGGGCCAGCACAGGGCCCCACCTCTGGGTTTCTGGAAGCAGAGGACTCTAGTCAGTGAGGTTGGGTCCTGTTCTTCACCCCTAGGCCAAGGGTTATGGAAAAGGGTCCCCTTCCTCCTCGGTCAGAGCAGAGACCCGGCATGCTGCAGGGGGCAATCTTGGCTCTGCTACCAGCAAGCTGTGTGAAGCTGACCCCCAGTTCCTCAACTGCAAAATGGCAATCTCTTCTCCTAGGCACTCCACGGGGCTTTATGTGGGGCATGCATGAAACCAGGTGTGCAAAACAAGAGCTGATGCAAAGGGGCTTCACGGGTGACATGAGGGAGACTCACCTACAAATAAGGACACTAACATGCGTCTCTGATAAAGGTGAACCTGCTCGTTCCAACCTTCCACCATGGTGTGCACCTCTCTCCCACCTGGAATCCCTCCAGCCTCCTACCCAGATGAGCTCTCCTCCTGTCTCCTCCAGATCCCTTTCTAGAATCCTCCGCACAACACCCAGCTATATTGCTGACCAGGGTTTAAAAGGGATTCCCCCTCAAAACAATCATTACTAAACATTTTTAAATAACTGTAATAACAATATCACAAACCAATGCCCACAGGCTTGCTCCCACCTCAGGACCTTTGCACTTGCTGGTCCCTCTGCCTGGAATGCTCTTCCCCTGGTTATCCACCTGGCCTGGATCCTTTGCTTCCTTCAGATCTCTGTTCAAATTTCAGTGACGCTTTCCCTGGCCAAACCATCTAAAAGTACAATCCTCTTTCCCGACATCCATGTCTCTTCCCTACTTCCCTTTCCCTCTTTAATTTTCTCCACAGCATTTACCGTCTAAAATACCATAGACTTTCACTGTTTCACTTGTTTGTTCTTTAGAAAGCAAGCTCCACGAAGGGACTTTTTTTGTTTTGTTCACTTGCTAAATCCCCACCTAGAAAAGTACTTGACCCCCCAGTAGGTGCTCAATAAATGTTGCTGAATGAATAACTATGTCCAAAGCTGTACTCTGAGGAACCTTTATAGCTAAAAGACTTATCAAGTAAGAACAGAATGGAAATAGATAAGCCGTGCATTCAACTCAAGGACAACAGAGTCTGTTTTACTCAACACTGTATTGCCAGCCCTACCTGGAACAGTGTCTGGCACACTGCAAGAGTTCAATGAATAGAGAATGACAGAAATAAATCTAAAGAGAGCAGGAGGGGATTAAGACAACAGCATTAATCAAACCGGAAAGGCAGCAGAACTGGCAACAACAAAATTCTATAAGGATTAGTTAAGAAAATGTACAGTCACACGTTATTAATATTATAAAAGAAAAAAATAAAACCAATGATAAAATGGTGTTTTTGTTTTGTTTTAATTAGAAGAATATCACGTATAGCTCTATGCCAAGAAGTTTGAAAATCTCCATTAAAAAGGTGACCCACCTACCCAGGGTCACACGTGGTTCCAATGTGGAACTTCAAGGCTGGCAAATTCCACCCTCATCCCTTACACCCCTTGCATGTGGTGGCCCTTCCCAGAGGGCAGGGGCCAATTACAGGTCACTCCTGCTTCCCCAGGTCCACCCACAGCAGCTGCAGCCGGGCCATGTGGGTGTTCAGTAGGCAGTGAGGGTCAGTGTGCAGGTGGGGGGCAGGGGCTCACCTTGTTGGCACAGCTGAAGCCCAGTCCTAGCTCGGCCAGGACCTTCAGCACACCCGGGCTGTTGTTGCACTTGACAGCGTAAAAGGGTCGGACTCGCGGCAGGCACTTCAGAAAGCAGAAGTGCTTTCGCACTACAGCTCCCAGGTCGGCCACAAAGAAGGCAGCGACCTCTTCCTGCACAACAAGAAGGGTGAATATGAGACCCCACCCAGCTTCCTCCTAGTGCGTGCCATTCACGGTCCTCCCAAGTACCCTGCTCTAATATTCTCTGGGGATCCCCAAGCCTACAGGACATTTGAGGCTCTGTGATCCAGCTCCAGTCCCTTCCCTCACTTCAGCTCAAACTCCAGCTCTATCCTAGATCATTTTCCACCTCCCAGCCTTTATTCCCACCATGTCCTCCATACAGAATATCCTTCCCCCACATGTATCTGGCAAGTTCCTAATCCACCTTCAAGTTCCAGCTGAAATGCCACCTTCCCCCAAACCAATAAGGCAACTCCGCCTTTAATGCTCCCACTGCGTTTTGCACATGCTTCCAAAGTATCAGACTCTGTGTATATAGACAACTGTTTTCTCCAGAAAAAAAGATAAATTCCTTGAAGACCCACAGCCTACAGCCACTGCCTTTCGCATTTAGGTGTTCAAAGAAGACTTGAAGTAGTCCCACTGCTACTGCAACCCATGCCTGAGGACAGCTGTTTACTGAGGGTTGAACACATATGAGGCCATTGGTGAGACCACATTAATTAAACCTTTTCTGGGACTCAGTTTCCCTTTTATGCAACACTTTTTTACTGATGCCCCCCTGGTGTCTGACCAAGCATACCTATGCAAGTATGCTAAGTATGCTTGGGCCTGCAAAAGAACCCCTTAAGCAATTACAAGCCCAGTCAATCAATGCTAAGCAGGAGTTTCTACAAAATGCAGAGGGGGCCATGGAGAAGGAAAGTACAAAATCTGCCTGGGGCAGTCAGGAAAAGGTGACACGGATGAGTAATAAGTAATGAGCAGAAATAGGTAAGAGGCAAGAGAGGCTGGGAGAAGGGAAGCGGGAACAGCCTGGGCAAAGGAGTGATAATGGAGCCCATGGAATCCTCGGGAAATACGAGCAGAGTAGTTCAGCTCTGATGGGGCATAATACACACCGTGGGAAAAGCCAGGAAGGGGGCTGTGAAGGCAGAGGGGCCTGGACCCTGTAGGGAGGGGGAAACTGCCGAAGAGTTCTGATTTTGAGCAGGGCTGTGATAGAGTTGGAAGGGGTGGGATGAGGCAGGGAAAAGGTTAGGGGAGTTTTAGAGAGATGAGGCCTAAACTACACGGTGAGGTCCCAGAAGAACGTACTGAAGGGTAATTCAAGGAGGCTGCATTCACAGAGTTTGGGGGTGCCCAGGTGTGGGAGGGGCAGTGAGGACTCCCAGGTTTCTGACCTAGAGGCCTGTGTAGATGATGGTAGTGTTGTTCATGAAGGCAGGGAACACAGGAGGGGCAGGTATGGGGGCAAGGACCAGGAATTTGGAGAAAAAATGAGACGTCTCTCACAAACAGAAAGGAATGAATACCAAATAAGTGAAAGAATCAGATGTGGGCCCTAAGAGGCAGCTGAGCCTGCTGGGAGAACAGAAGACCCATCCCCACTCCCAGGCCCTCACCGTGGTGGCCTGTGAGGCCCCCAGAGTGAGCTGCTCCAGCAGGTCTCGGGTGCTGAAGCCCTCCTCCACCATCACGAAGTCCGCTTCACTCAGGCAGCCAGCCATGCCGAGGAGGAGCCGATGGGCTGGATGGAGCTGCCGCTGCCTCCGGCGCCTTAGAAAGTATGCAACACACTGCTGGAGGAGAGTGAGGGGGCCGCTGGGGGGCTGGCGTCAGCTGCACCCCTCACCTCCCCAGGCCAGGGCGCCCACTCCTGTCACACCCTGCCCCCAGCACAAGCCTGGGGAGCTTAGGTTCACTGGGAGGAGTGAAGGAGAAGGACGATCAGGAATCCTGGACTGGGACAAGGCATTATCTGCCTAGATGTCACTGCCTCTCCGAGCCTCAGTTTCCCCATCTGTAAAATGGATGCATTGTTTTGGAGATCCTTTCCAGTTCTGAAATTAGGGTTTGGGTTTAAAGGGAAAGAATGAGAGAGAAAGAGCAGGAAAGCCGAGTGGGGAAGTTTCCAGGTGACCCCCCCCATCCTGACCACGCCCACCTGAAGTGGCTGCAGGTGGTCCCACCAAGGAGTCTCAGCCTGAGAGCTGAGGTTCGAGTCCGCTCTCTGCTGCGTGACCCTGGGTACGCCCCGTCCCCTCTCGGAGCCTCAGTTTAACCGTTTGTAAAGAGGGGCCGGGCTGGTCCTGACGTGCTAGGACGGTAAGCGTGCGTGGGGGCTCCACGTGGTGGGTGATGGCCGAGGGCTCCCGGGCAAGAACTGAAGGCTGAGGTTCTGTCCGGGTGAGCCCTCCTGAGTGCAGGGCCGAGGTGCCGCCCCCCCCAAACCCCCTTACCAAGCCCCGTGCTCCTTCGCGGGGCCAGAGTCAGGCACGCTGCTAGGGGGGGTCGCCGGTGACCTCGAAACTTGTGCAGCACCCCGAGGAGGAGTGGCAGCTGCGGAGCCGAGGCCCCTGCTGAGAGGAGACAAGAGGGGCCAGGGAGCAGGTCAGCACTGGAGCCCAGAACTACCGCTCCCGAGGCTCCCCAAGCCTCTCCCCCGCACTCGCCTTAAAACGCATTTACACGGCTTCGACCCATAGGTCCCCCCAGCGAGTGAAACGGCACCTCCGCGCCTCCGCTCGCTAGCTTCCTCCGGCTTGGGCCCCGCGGCCTGCCGCCCTCCCGCCCGGCAGCCACCGACGCCACGCCACGCCTTTCGCCCGGCGCTCACTTATATAAGCCCCCCCAGACCCCGCCCCTGGCGCTCAGGCCCCTCCTCCGCTCGGCCCCCCCTCCGTAGCCCTGGCAACTGGGTGCCACCATCCCATTGGTCGATTCCGACATAAAGCATTCAACCCTGCTAGCCGGCTCCGCAAACGTGATCCTCAGTCCTACAGAGACCCCTCTGCCGCTACCCTACGCTGGGAAATCTCAACTGCAGGCCTGCTAGCTCAGAACCCCGAGCGTCTACGCGGTGGGACGCTTAGCTCCTGGATATTAGATCTTGGAGAATGGGCAGGAAGCCAGGAGGTTTTTTATTTGCTCTGGGAAGCCTTTTCTGTGACTACCTCAGCTCGACGGTGCCTCTCCTCTCTGATCTGGTGAATTGCCCACTCATCCCAGGAAGCCCAGGTCAAATGTCATCTCCTTGTTTTACTTTTCTAATAAAATCATTTTTATTTAATTGCCTCTTCCAGCATCCTCCAACTCAAAACCCAGATGAAATGTCTTCAAAGATCCTTCTTGTGACTTTCCCAGCTCAGGGCAATCCCTCCCTTCATCCCATCTTCTGGATCTGGCAAACTCTTACCTCTCAAATAAAATGTCTCCCTCTCCAAGAAGCGTTCTCTGACTTCCTCAACTCAAAGCGTTTCTTCTCTTTTATACCTATTGAACTCCTGCTCCTGCACATTCATCAAAGTCCTATGTCATCTCCCCTGTTGAGCTTCCCATGACTTCCCTAGCCAGAGGAACAATGGAACTCACAGCACTTACATCTGTGTGGACTCCTCACTCTTTTGGCTTTTGTTACCCGTAGCTTGAGATTCCTGTTGTTGCTTTACACTTCTTGTTTAGTTACACTTCCCAGCTAGTCTGAGCTCCCAAGGGCAGCAACTGAGTGCCTGGCTCCTCAGAACACCCAGGGCCTGGCATAAACAAGAGTACTGGGACTTCTCTGGTGGCGCAGTGGTTAAGAATCCGCCTGCCAATGCAGGGGACATGGGTTCGAGCCCTGGTCCCGGAAGATCCCATACCGCTGAGCAAGTAAGCCCGCATGCCACAACTACTCAGTCCGCATGCCACAACTACTGAAGGCCACGTGCCTAGAGCCCATACTCTGCAACAAGAGAAGCCACCCAATGATAAGCCTGTGCACCACAACGAAGAGTAGCCCCTGCTCGCCGCAACTAGAGAAAGACCTCACGCAGCAACGAAGACCCAACGCAGCCAAAAATAAATAAATTAATAAATTTATTTTTTTTTTAAAAAAGAGTGCTGAGGAAGATTCAATATCTATGCTACTCAGAAGCTAATACAAAAGTTCATCTGAAACAGTAATTGTACAAGAACAGCCAAGACATTCTTGAAAAAGAAGAGGACATCTTCTACAATACATCAAGATATTTTATAAAGCTATGGTCTTTAAAACATCATGGTGCTGGTGCAGGAAAAGACAGTGCTAGAACAGAACAGAGTTTAGAACAGTCTTGTGCATATTGGAGAATTTGGTCACAATGAAGGCAGCATTTCAAATCAGTGGGACCAAAGAGCTTTTGGCCTTACATATGTGCTCATGTCCCCTGTCAGGCTGTAGGCTTCTTGAAAGCCAGAGGCACTTCTTGTTCTGCATCAGTATCTCCCTAGGGCACCCTGCACAACCTAATCAAAGCATCTTTAGCACACAGATGGTATAGAGCAGTGACCATGGAGTCTGCAAGAGCCATTTTCTGCTCCCCACCCAGCCTGGCCACATAACTGCTGGAAGTCCTTTGTTGGATCATCCTGCTGAGACCAGGGTCACATCTGCCTGGCCTGATTTCCACCTGTGAACTGAGAGGGCTCAGACTGAATGATTTCTCTGGGCTCTTCTGCCTTGAACACTCTTGCTTTCTATGCTAGGAACAGACTTTCAGTAGGCAGTCACCTTCACAGGAGGTGTCATTTGAGATCCATTCTTTGAGAGATCTGTAGTCATTTGCACCATAGTGTGAATTAATGACTGAAGTCCTCCTAAGAATAAGCATCTACTGAATGGGAGGGGGTAGATAAGGATGGCCATGGCAGAAACCTCAAAGGGAGCCCTCAAGAAAAGATGATAGTAAGAGGATGGGAGAGGCACCCAAACAAACTGGCTATACTTTTCTTTAAGTCATTCTTTGAGCTGCCTTTATTTGGATGCCATGGTCTAAGTCTGCCTCACTAGCTCTTTTCATTACCTGGTACATAGTAGGCACATAATAGGCACATTCAGTATGCTAACTGAATGAATCGATAAAGGTAAAAAGAAACAAACCATCATCCAATCTGTCCATTTGTAATTTGTCAAGGGTTGGTAGTCAGAGCAGAAAAATCTGTCTCCTGGACTGGATACAAATAAGCTGTGGATTTATCTTTTTCCCTACTGGGTATGTGATGTCACTGAAACTCCATGACAACCCTATGTCATAGGGCTATAATTATCCCCATTTTACAGATAAGGAATCTGAGATTCAGAGAAGTTCAGTACCTTACCCAGGGTCACACAGCAAGTAAGGGTGGAGCTCAGATTTAAACCCATCTGTCCTGACCCTTAACCTTCATGCTTAACTGCCAACCAGTAGCTGAGCATTCAGGCCCCAGCTCAAAAAAAGTCATCCTGTTGGCATCCAGCCCAAAGTCTGGTGGCCCCTCTCCTGCTGGTCTCTCATGCCACTGTTATCGATGGATGCCATGCAGAGCCCTCAAAAACATGTTGCTGAAGCAGGACAAAGAGCCTTTGATCTTTGACCAGGATCATATCTGTCAATTTCAACCTATTCTTTTTTTTTTTTTTTTTTTGCGTTACCCGGGCCTCTCACTGTTGTGGCCTCTCCCGTTGCGGAGCACAGGCTCTGGACGCACAGACTCAGTGGCCATGGCTCACGGGCCCAGCCGCTCCGCGGCATGTGGGATCTTCCTGGACCGGGGCACGAACCCACGTCTCCTGCATCGGCAGGCGGACTCTCAACCACTGTGCCACCAGGGAAGCCCTCATCTAAGGATCTTTGCACAAGCTGCTCCCTCTGCCTGGAATGCTTTTTTTTCCTCTTTAAATAATATAAATCTTTTTAAAAATATATTTTATTTTGGAGTTTCATACAGAAAATTTCTAAAAATTGTATATCCTCTTCACCCAGATTCCCCAAATGTTAACATTTTAACACTGCTTTATCATTCTTTTTCTCTAAATACAACTATATTTACATATGTAATTACACACATACATATTATATATCTATTTCTATCTATCCATATAATTTATTTTCTTGGAACTGTCTTAAGTTGCAGACATGATTCCCCTTCACCCCAAATATATCAGTGTGTATTTCGCCTGGAACACGTTTCCTCCCGATATCCAGATGGTCCACTCTGGGTGTGGCACACCCTCACCCCCTTCACGTTTTTGAAAGTTCAGATGAAGCCTTCTCAAGGAGGCCTCCCTGATCACCCTTTTAAAGATTTCACCCCACCCCCTCCACACACACTGTTGTCACTCTTGGTCCTCTTACCCCTCCTTACTTTTTCTTCTTTTACACACCTTTCACTTTCTAGAATATACTTTAGAATTTATATATTAAATCTGTGTACTTTAAGCTTCATAAGGGCAAGGATCTCGTGTTCACTGAAATATCCCAAGCTCCTAAAACAGAACTTAGCCCAAAGCAGATAGTCGATAAATATTTATTGAATGAGTGAATGAGGCGACTCGGGGTCACAGCAAATGATGGCGCAGTGCTTTTCATCAGGTGCTGCCACGGTCCAGGCCCTGTTCTTGGAGCTTTTCTGTGATGTCTTCAGGGGCTGCCTAGACTTTCAATGAGTCCATCTGTGATGCTGGTTAATGTAGACCCTAGCCACGGTGGGGATGACCCAAGACAAAATTATGACATCTCCATTTTGTTGTTGTTACCTTGGCTTCTCTTTTTCTCTCCTTCCCCCACCCCAAAGCTACCCTTTACCCCAATGTGCTTCCCCCGTGTGGCAACCATTCCCCTCCTGTGTGGCAGGGACAGGGCAGTTTGGTGCAAAGAGCACTGGGCAGCAGGTTTCCCTGGTGGTGCAGTGCTTAAGAATCTGCCTGCCAATGCAGGGGACACGGGTTCAAGCCCTGGTCCGGGAAGATCCCACATGCCACAGAGCAACTAAGCCTGTGCACCACAACTACTGAGCCTGTGCTCTAGGGCCTGTGTGCCACAACTACTGAGCCCACGTGCTACAACTACTGAAGCCCACGTGCCTAGAGCCCGTGCTCCACAACAAGAGAAGCCACCTCAGTGAGAAGCCCGGGCACCGCAACGAAGACTAGCTCCCGCTCGCCACAACTAGAGAAAGCCTGAGGGCAGCAACAAAGACCCATCGCAGCCAAAATAAATAAATAAGATAAATTTATTTTTTTTAAAAAAAGAGCACTGGGCAGGAGCCCTTGGAAAAGTCACTTTCCTCTCTGGGTCTCCATTCCCTCCTCTGTGACTCCCATGACCTCTGAGACTCTTGGTGACTCAGATATCCTCCGCAGTCTCTTGACATCATTGCCCTGGGGAATCTGGGTTGAGATTGTGCCCTTTTGTCTGATGGAAGAATGTGTGGCTTGTTCTTACAGGCAATAGATGAGAAAAGTATTTTCAGGTCGGGGGCTGCTGCTTTCCCGCCTCCCAGTTTGGGAACTAGACAGATCTGGAGTTAAATCTAGAGCTGTCACACCCTAGTAGCTCTATGACCCTGACAATATGACGTT